GAATCGGCTTGCCTTTATGAAACCTTTGAAAACATTTTCATCCCTTGGTTTTAGTTGCCAGGCAACAACCCTGAGTGATAGCATTCCTATTGAAATGTGTCAAGGTTACAAGGAAATAACGTTTAAGAGAACATGTGGCGTTACGCATAAGCTCATTATTTCCATTTAGAAGCTTGGTGCCTACATAAGTGGAGTATTGTTTGTTACTCAGGTGAACCGCGAAATAAGAGCAACCTTCGCGATTGTGTTTCTGCTTGAGTACTGTGCTTCTGCCTGTTTATACTGAGAAAGAGATGTCTCTGTGCTGGTACGGTATGATGACAGTCCACCAACTGCACCAGGGCTCTGGGCTTGGTCTCCATGTCGGTGGCAATGTGAGCCCTGATCACAGAGACCAAATTTACTAGATCAGGAGTAGGCAATCTCTGCACTCCAGCTGTGGTTAAACTTCAAATCCTATTATACCTCTGCCACTGGTAGTCATGCATGTGATTTGTCAGAACCATGCAATGCCTCATAGGACTTAAAGTTTCACAACAGCTGGAGTGCCGAGGTTGACTTTCTCTGTACTATAAACAGAAGGACACATGATGGAGCCAGAAAACAGAATAGCAACATTGCCTGGCATGAGATCCCCTTACTGAGGACCCTTGCTGCAGCTTCTCACCTTGTGACTTCGGTTCCAAAAGTTTGAAACAATATCGGAAGTCCACCAAATGTTTTCTATCTCCAATCCCTACACTCGTCTGAAGCAAGTGTTGATTATGATTGGTCAGGATGGTATAAGTGACAGATCCTTAAACCAAAATCCATCATCAGCCATAGGGCACCAGGCTCCATTTATTACAGGGTCCATGAATGATACACAGTATGCAGTGGATGCTGGTCTTTCTAATGAGAAAGCCCAGTACTGTCTGCATGCCTGTTGGTTAAAGACCTTCCCATCTGGCTTCTTATCCTTGAACACTTTCAGATCTGTTATGGCACAACAGTAATTAGATTGAGCCGGTAGAGAGTGTAAATAGACCTCATCACCTGTCAGCTGGTATGTCTACACATTATTTCACCTTTACCTGAATATTTATTTTTTTGTAATACTGAACATGAATAATTAAGGAAATATACAAAAGAATATGGTGTATCCATGATATTGGGTTTGCAGAGCCTTCTGACATTAGTAAGGAGAGAGCATGCAAGAGCTTATCCCTTTCTGACTGTATTTACCTGATTCTCCATATGGCTTTCTCTGAACAGAGCAGGCTGGAGGGAGTCATTACTTTGACTCATTCAGCTGTGTGTGTCATTTAACCTTTAAACTATTCCAGTCTGTAGACATGTTTTTGGTAAGCAAAGCAGTTAAGGATAGCCTGTTAATCATGTGAAATGGATGCCAGAGCTCCACCTGCTGGATAGAAACAGTAAATATGAAATATTTAAAGGAAACCTGTCATGAGAGACTGCAATTGCTGACCTGTCCTAAAAAAAATAGGTGCCCACTTTTAAGCTGATACAATGGCTTCAATACTTTGAGTCACTGGGTCAGAACAAGTATGTAGATAAAGACTACAGACTTTTCTCTGACGTCTTGATCTGTATAGTTGTTCTGGGCCAGTACTTAAAGCTATTGGACCAGCCTAACAGCTAAGCAGCCAGGATTTACAATGACAACACTTGTATTTTTTATAACAGGTTAAATACATGCAATGGACATGTTCAGATCAAGCAGTGCAGGAGATGGGGTAATTGATAGATAGGATAGATAAATAGATAGATAGATAGATAGATAGATAGATAGATAGATAGATAGATAGATAGGGGCATCCCCAGGCCGGGTGTCACCCAGAGCGTTTACCGGGTGACACCCCGCCGTGACGTCATCGCGCATGCGTGGCGATCTTGATGATACTTGCCGGCGGCCATCTTGGTGATGGTTGCCGACAGAGAGAAGAGGGGACAGTCACCAGATGGGATAAGGTATCCCTCTGGGTCACCTCCTCTCTCCCGAAACTGTTGGGCGCGCGTTCCATGACTTTACTGAGGGGGGTGACACCAAAATGACTGTCAGTCATTTTGGTGTCACCCCTCCAATATGTCACCTGGGTGTGGGCCGCACCCCCCTTGTGACGCCACTAGATAGATAGATAGATCTAGGGCGCCACCCATGTTATCTGCCCTTCTGTTTTGCAGTGACAGGTGCACGTAAAATAGAATTTCTTGCAGAGATGAACAGAATGTTCTTTTTATTCTTCCCACATACAAGGAACATCTGACATGCCATGTAAAGGAATCACTATGCAAAATGTTCCATGTCATTATTGTGACAGTTTGATGTTACAATTTTTTATGTCGGTGCCTGCAATCTGACAGATCTGACAGCGGCCTCTCTCATGCATCGTATAATGTAAATGTCATATATCGGATTTGAATGTCAGGGATGTATATGTAAATGTATACATGCAATTCAACCAGGAATGATCACACTGTTCATCTGTACTGTGGGCATGAAATCACACTGGTGTCAATCATCATACCTCTATGAGCTTGTTGGACATTCCATTTCAAAGCCAAGAGCATTAATAAAGAGTTCCCACCCTTTGAGGTTATAACAGCCTTCACTCTGCTGGGAATGCTTTTCACAGAATTTTGGAATGTGTGCCCATTTAGCCGAAAAAAGCATTTGTGAAGTCAGGCACTGATGTTGGATGAGAAGACCTGGCTTGCAGTTGGCATTCCAATGCAGCCCAAAGGTGTTTAGTAGGGTTGAGGTCAGGGCTCTGTGCAGGACACTCGAGTTCCTCCACACCAAACTCATCAAACCATGTCTTTATGTAGCTGGCTTTGTACACAGGGGCACAGTCTGGCTGGAACAGAGAAGAGCCTTCACCAAACTGTTTCCACAAGGTTGGAACAGTACAATTGTCTAAAATATCTTTGTATACTGTAGCATTAACAGTACCCTTCACTGGAAACACCGGAATGCAATAATTTGGCAGGTTATCCACATTCTTTTGGCCATATGAATTTGTGATCGTCAGGTGTCCACAAACTTTTAGCCATAGAGTGTACAAATATATATTCTCCAAGCTAAGAATAGCTAATAGTAGTTGGCCACATTCAGCTGTAGAAGACGTTTTGTAGCTTCTGCTGGCCACTTGGCTTGGAGAAGCTACAAAGCGTCTTCAGCATTACTGAACAAGTCCAAATGACTGTGACCAACTGCAACTAGGTATACCGTATTTTTCCGTCTATAAGACGCCCTATGTATAAGACGCCCCCAACTTTTCTGACCCAAAATTCAGAAATCAATATTTTAAATGATTTTATGCATCACACTTACCTCTGAGCCAATCACTTTATTCAGACTCTGTTGCATCACTGGTTTCTGGCAAGAAATCCAAGTTATAAGCCTCTGCTCCAAGTTTGGCCATTTTGCTGGTTTTCCTCTCAAGGCCTTCTTCTTTTTGGGCATCTTAAGGAGTTGTTCTTCCTATTTTCTCCACTGTCTGATCATACACTCAGTGGAGGAGGTCCAAATTGTCTCTCTGCAGCTCTATTTCCATGCTCTTTTGCATAAGTGATTATATCCAGTTTAAATTTTGCATAGTAAGCCAGCCGCTCTCCCCAGCAACAGCTGACGTCAGGTACAAAAGATTTATGATTGGAGGAGAACTGTTATCTTGTCTCTGCAATCCGAAGTTTCACTCCTGAGGCTAGTTTGCAGTGGTATCAGCACTTTCAGCAGTTTTGAAACCGCGGCCCCCGTGTATAAGACGCACCTCTATTTTTAGGTAAACATTTTAATGAAAAAGTAGCATCTTATACACGGAAAAATACGGTACTTGGCTTGGAGAAGCTACGAAAGGTCTTCAACGAAACAGAACAAGTCCGGTTGAATGTGACTAACTACTACTAGCTATACTTGGCTTGGAGAAGCTACAAAGTGTCTTCAGCATTACGGAACAAGTCTAAATGAATGTGACCAACTGCAACTAGGTATACTTGGCTTGGAGAAGCTACAAAAGGTCTTCAACAATACAGAACAAGACTAGTTGAATGTGACTAACTGCTATTAGCTATACTTGGCTTTGGCAAAGTACGTAGGTCTTCAATATTACAGAATAAGTCCAGTTGAATAAGTCCAACTACAGCTAGCTATACTTGGCTTGGAGAAGCTTTGAAAGGTCTTCAATAGTGATGCACTGATACCATTTTTTGGGGTATCAAGTACAAGTACCGTTATTGTTTCATCAGTACTCACCGATACTGAGTACAGATATCGGCATCCCGAGGTAGAGTGGGCCTAGCTTCCTGATTGCCTGGGAAGCTAGCTTCATGCTCCCTTGCGACACTGCGAGACAACCCGGCTTCCTGACCAGTCAGGAAGACGGGCAGTGGGCCATGACCTGCTGCCTGGCTTCCTGATTGGTCAGGAAACCAGGCAGCCTCGCAGTGTCACTAGACATTGTGAAGCCGCCTTCCTAGCCAATCAGGAATCCAGGCGGTAGGTCATGGCTTGTTCTGTAATGTTGAAGACTGATACCGATACTGGTATCGGTGCCGATACTGATCATTTGGCTAAGTACTCTGGCTTTCTAATTGGTCAGGAAGCCAAGCTGCTTTGCAGTGTCTCTAGGCAGCATGAAGCTGGCTTGCCAGGCCAATCAGGTAGCTGGGAGGGAGGTCATGACCTGCAGCCCTGCTTCCTGACTGGCAGGGAAGCTGGCTCCATGACCCCTTGCGGCACTGCGGAGAGAATCTCCCTCTGACCGGAAGTTCCAGTATCAAGGTAAGTATCAGAGCATTTGGGCAAATACTCGCCCAAATGCTCAGTATCGGCACCGATATCGGTATCGGTGCATCCCTAATCTTTAACATCACCGAACAAGTCCAGTTGAATGAGCTATCAAAAACAAAAGTTTGGGCACTACAAACACTTTAATGAAAGAAACGTTAGACTTTGCAAAACATTCTTTGACCCTTCTCTCTTCTCTGTATTCCAGGCCAACGGACACAGTTTTGTAAATATGGAGCACGAAAAGGCCGTCGCGCTCTTGAAGAGTTTTCAGACAACGGTAGACCTTGTAATTCAACGTGAGCTTGCTGTCTAAATATTTTTTATAAACAGTGACGATATCCGTTAGACAGGTCCTCTCTTTTTTTTTCTCTTTTCTTCGTTTTTGCCAATTGCTGGATCAATGGCAAAGAGCAGTGCCAAATGTAGATGCTATGTTATTATTGACGGACAGACGTTCACGATATACGTATGAAAAACAAAAAACTTTTACTTGGATAACAATGTATTAGATTTAATCATTTAGCCTGAGGCTTGGGCTGAACAGTGGTGCAGTTTTATAACAAAAAAAAATGTTTTTCTTCCCAAAGCGGATCTCCTAGTTTTGACAGCGTGAAAGCACACAAGACGCTCTACTGGTACCCGAAAATCACCACCAAGCACTGCCTCAACGTTGTATATGCCTTTTATATAGAACATAAAAAACAAAAACAACTTAGAAGGAATCGCAAGTCATATTTTGACTTCTATATGAAAAAAAAATAATAATTACAAAATCATATTTTCGTAATGAACAAAGAAATTGATAAGAAAGTTATTTATTAAAGATGTACGCTGAATTAATATTCCCTTTTTTATATACGAAATAGATACTTATGCCTTATGGAGAACACTTTAAATGTATAGAATTAAAGCCGTTTATTTCATTTGAGAAAAAAAAAAGTAAGGGTTAATCAGACTGGATGTCATCTAAATATATGTTTAGTATTTTTATAGTGGTGCATCAAGAGATGGGGACAAAGGTTGCTTTTGGCTGAAGCCCTTGGTGAAAAGCCAATCCCTATGTGCTTAAATAATAGGTTCCAGATTCAGCTTCAGTCTCTGCAACTTGATTGGCTGTGACAAAACCGATCTGTAGCCAATGGGATGTCCAGACACACACACACAATACAAGGCTGAATAAATAACTTTGTTCAGTCTGTTCTACTAGCAATACTGTTGATCCAGACAAAACAAAACAACACACCAGATAAAGAGCTCCCAAATTAGGGGAGGAGTCCTTTTTGACCCTATAAGCAGCAATCATGTACATTTCTTGGACAATCACTCCGCTTCCTACTATTTATAGGTGAAGGTGTCATTTTTTAATAATAAAGGCATCCAATCTATATTTAATTCAATCATAGCGCTTGCCACCGACACGTCTTTTCTCCGTCCTTACAGTGAAGGATCCATGCTCATGCTGAAATTATTTTGCCTCTAGCTGTACCAGATGTTCCCTTTTTATTATTTATACTCATCTTCAATAGTGGGAAATCAGCTAAAGTTTTCATTAGAGCAGGAAAGAGTTAGTAAACCTGCCAAGTTTATTTGATGTGTCCCAACTGGAGAGGTTCTCCTGTTGACTATCACCTTGAGAAAGGGCACCATAGAGTCTCGGAACCATTGGTGGTGCCCATATATTTTTGTATCTGTTCTGTGCTGTTTTTGCCTTGGGGGTGCTGGCCATTTCTGTTTTTGGATTTATACGGTATCACTGTATCATCCAAGGCTGTGCGCCTGTCTTGGATGGGTTGTGTTCTGGTTTGATTGATTTGTTCCAACTGGAGGGGCTCCATCTCATTTCCTGCGAGGTGTCACAGAATGTCAGAGCAATCTCTCCAGAAGGGACACATAGTTACATAGTTAGTCAGGTTGAAAAAAAGACACAAGTTCATCGAGTTCAACCTATGACACAGATGACAATAAACAAAATCTAGAACCCATCCTCATCCCGCTAAAAGAAGAAATGCTTTCACTGCAAAAAATGTTGTCTGAATTTTGACTTTAGAAGCCAAGTCCACCCAAGCTTGACACTTGAACTTTGGGCAGGAGGCCTTATCAACCGGTAACTTTCTCATAAGTCATGGACACACAAATGTTGAGATTCCTGTGCAGTTGCTTGGTTCCCACCCCTCTTAGAAAGCCATGATGAAGGTGTCATCTTGTTGGTTCTGGACACCTCAATCATTTATTTGTTCTGCATTTTAGAGAATCCGTCAAGGAACTGTGTCACCATCATTTGGCTTTCACTTAGATTATAACAAGGCACAGTGGCTCCAGTAAGGCTGCTCTCCACACAACAGGAAACCCCTTGATGCAGGGAGGCAAGAGTTGAGAATCAGTATCAGTACTAGTTCACAACAGGGTAACACAATACATCCAGTGCATTTCGGGGGCCCAGAAAATCTCCATCTTCTTCAGGGATCAGATATTGTGAATGGTAGGACTTAAAGATGGCATAATAACCAAAAATAATTATTTTTGGTAGTTATGCCATCTCCAACCGTTTACAATAGGGATGCACCGATACCAGTTTTTCGGTATCGAGTACGCGTACCGATATTTGTTTTCGGATTTTTTTTTACAGAATACCGATACCGGAAGTCCTATTAAGGAAGCCAGGCAGCACGTAATGGCTCGCCACCTGGCTTCCTGATTAGCCGGAAAGCCGCCTGCATGCACAAGTTACGAGGGAGCATGGAGCCGGCTTCCCGGCCAATCAGGAAGCCGGGCAGCGTGTTATGACTTGCTGCCCGGCATCCTGATACCGAAAGCCCAAGTATCGGGCTAGGCATCAGAGCATTTGGACAAGTACGAGTACTCACCCAAATACTCGGCATCGACACCAATACCAGTATCGGTATTGGTGCATCCTTAGTTTACAAAATCTGATCCCTGAAGAAGGGGGAGAGTTTTGGGGCCCCCGAAACACGTTGGTTATTTTGTGTTATCGTGTTGTGAACTAGTATCGATACTTAAAGAATTTGGACTCTTGAACCTTTTGTTTGGCGTTCTCATTGGACTCACTTACACTTTTGGCAAGCCTCTATATACTCCGTTACATCTCCTCTAAGATGCCTCCTGTACCTCGGTAAAAAAAAATAAAAAGGGCAATAAAATAAAGGAATGTCAGAGTGGTTTTTATCAACCAATCGGATTCCAGATGTCATTATTCCAGCAGAGGTCAGAAAATAAACGGAGCATGTTGTAGTTTAATATGCCAGCATCCTTAATTTTCCTTTCATCTGAGTTTCTTCAAAGGCCAGCGAATGCATCAGCATTTATAGTCTGACCTTACAAAACCCGTCATTAGACATTCCGCATGCTACGCAGGCCATCGCTTATGATTGTCACAGTCCTTCAGTCTGCAATGAGTGGAGCTCTTTCTGAATATTACAGGGGTTAAAAAAAAAAAACAAGCAGGCTCATGTAACTTGGGGTATGTGCACACGGATGTTTTTATTCCATCTCATCAAGACTGGAAGAAAACAAATTCTATTAACTTCAGCTTTGATCCCTTTGAGGTTTTTAATGCTTTCAGCCTCATTCAGTCTTCAGTCCATTCCCCGTACTTCTTTCAGTTTAGGTGTCCACTGCATGAGACCGAAAGGCCAGATTGAATATGGAATAATAACCCCCTTTCACAAATTTTATTCAGTTTTTGTTCCTTCTTGCAGTTTCATTCCTTATTAGGTTTTTCAACTACTGTCCTTCTAGTTAGTTTTATGACACCCGACGTGCAAACAAAGTTATCTTAGATTCAGAATATACCGGTAAATGTTCTCTGTGATTTGAATGCACTTTCCTTCCTTTACAAATGAAAGCAGAACTCCAGGCAAACGGTACATATTATTATTATACAGGAATTATATAGCGCCAACAGCTGGCGCAGCGCTTTACAATATAAGGAAGACATTACAATAACAATACAATTCCAGACAGGATGGTAAGGAGGGCCCTGCCCGTGAGGGCTTACAATCGAAAAGGGAGAGGCCAGTGATACATGAGGAGGTAGCTGTGTGGGGATGTATTGTCTGAGAACGTGATGGTTGAGCCTTTGGTTGAGGTAGGATAGGCTTCCTTGAAGAGAGTCTTAAGGGATCGTCTAAAGGCAGCCAGAGTGGGAGACAGACGGACAGTTTGGGGTAAAGAGTTCCAGAGGATGGGAGAGACTCTAGTGAAGTCCGGGAGGCGAGCGTGGGAGGAGTTGACGAGGGAGCTGGAAAGCATGAAGTCTTTGGAAGACCGAAGGGAACGGTTAGGGTGATACTTTGAGACAAGGTTTGAGATATATCTGGGGGCAGAGCTGTGGATGGCTTTGTAAGTCATTGTTAATATTTAGAATTTTATTCTTTAGGCTATTGGAAGCCAGTGGAGGGATTGGCAGAGGGGGGTTGCAGAAACTGAGCGGTTGGTTAGGTGAATGAGTCTACCAGCAGCATTCATGATAGACTGAAGGGGGGATAGTCTGTGTAGAGGTAAGCCAATGAGGAGGGAGTGGCAATAGTCACATATAAACCCCAATTGCTAAAATCTCATATAAGAATTTTCTTTAAAGTGGAACTCCAAGAAGTTAAAAAAATTAACCCTTGCAGTGGGGCTAACCCCGCACTGCAAGGGTTAAGTGCTTGTTTTGGTCCAGGGGCTCAGATAAAACAAAAATGTACTTGCCTGATCCTCGATTCTGCCTGGCTACCGTGCGGCCTCTTCTTCCCCAGGCTCTGTCGGTCTAGGCACCACTGATGTCATCACGTCCAATGCTGCTCCAGTTACCTGCATTGGATGTGAAGACATCGAGAGACATATACCACAGCCAGGGTGGAGGGGGAGAGAGGCTAGTGCTTACTGGCTGCAGGACCGAGGATCAGGTATCTGAGCATCGGGTGAGTAGAACCTTTTTTTTTTTTAACTTGGACAAAACCGAGCACTTAACCCTTGCAGTGTGGGGGTAGCCCCACTGCAAGGGTTAATAAAATGTGTGCCCGGTCTTCTTCTTTAAAGGAGAACTATGAGGTGAGTGCTTTTCACTCTCCTCAAAGTTCTAGCCGACCTGTGACAATGAGACTGTCACAGGTCGGCTCAGTAGATCGGGAGGTGAGCGAACACATACCGGCATTCGCTCACCTCTTGATCCTGTCACGGCTCTCTGCAGTGACACGTTACCCTAAGGAGAACTATGGGGAAAAGACTTAACCCCATAGTTCTCCTTTAAGCCTTCCTATCTTAATTTCATTGTGCAATCTCCTGTCCTCCATATATATCAGATCTCCCCTTGTCCATTACACAGTCTTCTGTGAGGCCAGGTGCACACCATTTTCCAGACCAGATCTGAAACACAGTGCATTGCGTTTATATGAATTTTTGACACATTACGGTGCATGTTTGTTTGGTTTTTTAGCTTCAAATGGGCTTTCAGGTGCAGTCCAGTGCGTTTTTGATGTGTTTATATGCGTTCCAGACCAGGAAAATAGTTCCTGCAGCATTTTTTTTGCCCGCACCGGAACGGGCTGCACTGTTGTGAACAGAGCCCAGAAATACCATAGGAATACAATGGGATGCATTTCGTGTGTTGAGAAAAAACGTTCTGGTCCGGACACGGTGTGAACAAGCCCTAAAAAAATTCAGAAATGTTTTTTTCTTCAAAATCTTGAATTGAACTTAAAAGGGAACTATGGGGTAAGTGTTTTCCTCATAGTTCTCTTTAGCGTC